AGCATTCTGATAGAGTTTAGTAATTTCTTTTTCCTCTGAAAATTTGATGGAAATCAATTGAGAAATGAATGAGATATGAGGGTTCAAAGTTGGCGTCTAGGAAGTAAAAAAAAAGAATAATGATTTTTACCAACAGAATCAGTAGAAGGTCTTCCGTTGAAAACTGAAGACCTTAATACAGCAAAAACGTTTTTACGTTAAATGTCGACGGGTCGACAGGTAGACAGTTATGGACCTGACAACCAGGGGCTCGTAACATAAAGCTTGCTAAGTTTTTGACTTAAGTAGGGTCGTAAGTACGGTTTAGGCACAATCTTAGGACCTGTCTAAGTACTGCTTAAGTATGTCTTAAACCGTAACATAAACCAAACTAAGCTAGGTCCTAGCTAAGTCAGACTTATGTTAAAAATATTTCACATGAGTCAACATATAGTTTTTGATTTTACATAGATATATTGCTAAATATGATTCAGTTAAGGTTTTAATTAATTACATATTAAAGTTGACGTCCTTACTTATCGGTTTAAGTTATGTTAGGTTAGATTTCGTATTAAAATTATAATTATGTTATAAACTATTCGGAATGTTTGAAAACAAATACTGCACGGTCAGAAAGTGGCGAATTGTGGTTCATTGTAAATGTTTACGACAATTGTTTTATCACCTGAGGTGTTTTCAGTTTACCTCTTGTAACTCTTTTGTTTTGATAAATGTTCACTTACCCTGTTATTATCGCAGACAAGAAAAGATAATCGACCGCCTATTCACTTGAAATTGAAACTCTAAAAAGTTAGATACATTTTGAATCCCCGTAATGTACAATGCCATGTATGTCAGAAGCAAAAATGCAGAAGTTTAATGATATACTTATAATCAAGGATGCAAAACAAAAATCGGGATATTTCTATAACCGAAGTACTGCTAATTTCAGACGTATCCTTAAAATTAAATTTTGTATTAACATGTATGATAGCGCTGTGCTGTGTTGTGAGTGAAATTGGGATCAGTGATCACCCCACCCCCACCCCCCTCCCAACGAAAAAATAAAATTCTTAAATCAGCGTCAGATATAGATAATTATTTTCTTTAATGCATAATATGAAAAGAGGAAACTTTAAAGATCGTAAGTCAACATTAAATAATTCTAAATATATGTACAAGAAAGTAAAGATATTCTTAAGCCACCTCTACCGACCGCCTAAGTTTTGCTAAGATTGTCAAATCTAAGTACGCTTCGAGTTACGGTCTTAAGTTTTAGACTGTACTTAAGTCCTACTTAAGCACAGTCTTAGACTTAAGTAGCCTTTATGTTACGACCCCCAGATATATTAGCATGTTTATAAATGTACTGTTCTTTTATTTCTTAGAAGACGATAATAATGTCGACCTTTCAACTAGATATAATAGCACGTTTATTAACAAATATTTTTTCATGATTTCAAACTTCACATTAATAATGAGCTCAGCCTGTCGACATGTCAACCAGATAAAAGAACGTTTATTATCAAATGTACTTTTGTGACTTCAAACTTTACAGGGATACTAATAACAACCTGTCGACCTGTCAACCAGACATAGTACCATCTTCATGAATATATATTCCTTTTTGACTTTGAAATACACATTTATAATACTGTGGTTTCATCAATTTTCGTTGGCATCAATGTTTGTGGATTTTGTAAAATACACGTTTTCGAGGATATTTCATGGACAAAGGCATTGCCTATTCAAATGAATGTCATATTTCGTATTTCAATGAACATAATTTTCAATTCGTGGATCTGCTCAACAACGAAATCCACGAAAATTTGTTTTCAACGAATATTGATGAAACCACAGTAATGCCAACCTGTATACTTGATATGACACGTTTATTAACAAAGAAAGAGGGCGTATAAGGCGTGTACAATCCCCCGGTCTGAGACAAAATGTTTCTCAATTTTCAAAATTCACAGAAATGTTATATTTTTCTATAATCATGTTCTCAGTAATGTCATCTTCAAAACATTCTATTATTTTATTTTACTGAACGACTTATTATTTGATAATCTTTATTTCAAAGTTGTCAGTTAAGCATATATTGTGGAACATGGGTTTAATAGAGCTATAAAAAACGAATTTTGAACATGAATGGGTCAACTCTCCATTCTTCCTGAACGCTTAAATGATGAAAATGTAAATGCAAAATCTATTTCATTTGTCCAAAAAATGGAATCTGAACCCATTCTATATGAAAATTGAACTTTTCTGAAAAAATTTACGCTTCAACAAACCCTTTCATTTAAATCACACTGAAAAACATCAATAATGCATATACTTCGTAGCGTAGTGGTTAAAGCGTTTGGTCTTGGACCAATCCTGCGCTATGGAGAGAGTTCGAATCATACGCGAAGCTTTTTCTTTTTTTGTTTTCAAATGTCTTAAAAACATGAGTGAAAAGTAAATTATTAATAAATTATTAAAACAATGAAATAAAGAATTTGAAATGAAAAAAATGATAAAAACCATAAAATTTTGAAAAATATTACTTTTAGAATTGAGAAAAGTCTTCTTTTAGAGCGGGGGATTGTCCTCGCCTTGTACGCCTCCATTCTTACTTCTATGATTTCGAACTTTTTTATATGTAGCAACAACAATACACCTTTTCATATTCTATTTTTGATCACATAATAACAGTTATATAACCGAGAATAGATAGTGTGTTATATGAAGAAATGAGTTTCAAAGGTCAGAAATCCAGTAAACAATACAAATTAGGAGCAAACACAAACTCTAACAGTTCCAACAACCTTATTCTTTACATAATACAAGATAAGAAAGATTCACGTAGAATATGATATGAAAAACGCACAATAGAACAGGATAGAATTGAAAAAATTAATTTGCAGGTAGATAAAACTCTACAGATACTCATACTGCTCATATTCTCGTCATCACCCTAACTGTTAATTCGTGTTACTAACCTCGTTTTAGAACTATTCATAAATAGGGAATGCACTTGTATAGCAAATATTTTGGAATTTTGAGCGGAAGAAATTTCTGTTTTTACTTACATGAAATTTAAACTTTCTATATGTTTTGAGTGAAAGCGGGGTGTTCAACGTCGAATAAGCATAATTATGAGGGGTGATCAAAACGTTCGCAAACTAATTCCCTATCTACCGAAATACAGTTCTGACAAAATGAAATTTGTCACAAATATAGCCCTAAACATGTGCTTTATGCAGTATGAGTCATGTTGAAATGTGCGTCATAATTATGACAGCATGATGTTAAAATGACGTCAATATAGAGGTGACTGTGACGATAATGGATGGGTCAATCGTACTTGAACAAAGAACTATAATAAAATTTTATGTAAAACTAGGTAAATCCTTCACTGAAATTAATATACATGTACGATGATTTACATTAAGTTGGGGAACGTGGGCTTTCAAAAGGTACAATAAGTAAGTGGATGAAACGTTTTATTGAGGAAAGGGAGACGGTGAAAGATGATGATACATCTGGGTGTCCGCTGAACGTAAGTACCGAGAAAAACGTGTCTGAGGTTGAACAATATGCAGTGAAAGATCGAAGAGTTACAATTAGGGAAATAGCTAATGATCTTAGAATAACTTATGGAACAGATCAAGAGATTTTAACGAGTAAGCTTAAAATGCGGCGAGTTTGTGCGAGTTGGGTCTCTCGCCTCCTTCTGCCACAGCAGATGAGGGTGAGAGTGAATGCGTGCCGGTCCTACGTTAGTAGATATGAAAAAGAACAAAATTATTTCATGAATAGAATCATCACATGTGATGAAACTTGGGAACATTTCTATGAGCCAGGAAGTAAACAACAAAGTTTAATTTGGAAGCATCCTTCCTCGCCACCACCAATAAAAGCACGCGTAACCAAGTCAGCAGGGACGGTTATGCTCATAGTGTTATGTGACATCAACGGAATAATTCTAAATCACATGGTACCACCCAACACTTCAGTTACTAGGGACTACTATGCACGGGTTATCAAATCAGATTTGCTGAGAGCAGTTAAGAGAAAGCGCCGCCCAGATCTGATAAGATCTGGATTCATTCTGCACCATGATAACGCACCTAGCCGTAAAAGGTATAGTGGGAAAATACTGGGTATAGAAAACCTTATTCATCTCCACTACAGCCCAGATTTGGCAATTTCTGACTTCTGGCTATTTCTAGTTTTAAAAGATAACCTACGGGGAGTAAAATATGAGTCTCAGGAAGATCTTGGTACAGCTGTGAACAAGGTGCTAAGGGTCATGTCACGTGATGGCTTTGATCACGTGTTTCGCGCATGGGAAGACCGATTAGAAAAGTGCATAAAAGCTAAAGGGGCCTACTTTGAAAAAGAATAAACTCAAAATCTCACTTTGAAAAATATTTCAAAAGTTATTCAATTAGTTTGCGAACTTTTTGATTACCCTTCGTATGCTGTCATTTGTTTTGTTTTGTTTTTTGTTTTTTTTTTTTTTTTTTTTTTTGTTGATGGATAATCATTTGTCTTTACCTCGGAACTATTAAACATTTTTTTACAAGGTTAAATAGAATGTTGTATGCCTATTGATACACATGTACCTGATTGTGCTATTGTGTCATGTATGAAACTTGGAGCTAGCAAATATTAATCGTGCTTAAAATTCACTTGAAACAATGCAAATCGTAAGCTAAGAGGTGGGGTCTGGTGCCATAAAGGAATAATGCTCTACTTTCGACCGTTCATACTCAAAGTGAGTTTGTGTACATGAGGGGACAAATAAAAAAAATCAAAATTCAGACTGTTAATAATGACTTATAATTAGTATTATTATTATCATTTAATGGTTTTAAATTATTTAATGGGTGTTCTTTACTCTAAAAATAATATATAATAAGTAACTCTTTATATTTGATGTAGATATATTTTAAAAATATTTTGCACACTGGACAGTAAGGGAAAAACGAAAAATTTTGAATAAGGGGTTTTTTAATTAAAACAATTAATAAAGAAAAAAAGTTAAAATCAATTTTTATGTTTTTTGTTTATTTTCAGATGCAAATGCAATTTGAATTTCAATCTGATATGGGTATATTTATTGGATAAAAAATATATACAATAAATCATAAAAATCGGTTAAAAATAATTTATTCTTAAAAATGTATTCCATTGCAGAAAATGGCCATGCTTAAAAAATATGGATTGGTATATTTTACATTCTGTCTTTTCTATTTCTGTTGCTTTGCTTGAAGCGTGCAATTTGCTTTTTGCTTGCAATATTAATTAATGTTATCTTACACAAAGGTAAACAAATATTTAAATTACTTGAACAATGTTGATGCTAATCTTGATTGTCCATAGTTTCCTTAAATGATGTTAAAACAAACGACTTTGATCTCATTCCAAGTCATGGTTAAATGTTCTTGCCATCTAAGCGTAACTTAAAGAATATTCCACGTCGCAGGTTCTGCTGTGCAAGGGAGATAAAAGAAAGTCGTGATTATTTATCCTAATGCGTGCAAATGAACATTGTTTCCCTTTCTTTCATCTCAATTTATTACATGTAGATATATGCACGACGGAAAGATATTCCTAAAAGTTGCTGTAATAGCATTCCATTTGTTTATGCTAAGAAATGCAGAACAGTTTTTTTAAAATCAAGAAAATGAAAATTTTATGAAGTCAAATCTAGGTAGATAGGTAGACCCTCTATAGGGCCCATACTATAAATGTTATTCATTTGCAAATCTTTTATTCCCATATACCAAGCTTATGCAATGCAAGAAAAGAGCCTTTGCTTATACTGTAAGCATTGCTTTTTTAGGCTATTAGATTTACGTTATAAATAGTATTGAATCTTTAATTTATTATTGTTTCAGCTTTGTTTATGTAAATACGTCAAAATATAAATTATCTGTTAAACAACTTTAAATCATTTGGAGCACGATGTCTAATCACCCAAAATTAAATTCAAACCGCTAATGCTGTTGTTTTAATTAATTATGCATTGACTTTGCATTTTTTTGTAGAGTACAATTGTAATTTTATTTGAAGTTTTGGAAAACAGTTGCTGCTTACAACTCCCTAACAACGCTTGTGAAGAATCCTTGGAAACTATATCATATACATCAAAATGTCCGTCTGATTTTGAAGAATATCAGGTGGCAGCGCTAAGGAAAAATTGCAGCAAATACAAAAATGAATGCAGATCCTTCGAATACCACTGTGTTCTAAACGATGACACGACTAAAATCATGGAAGTTTGTGCACCGTCTCGCTATATTCAGTGTAAGTTTACGTAGATACAGCATGGACGTTTTGATATGATTAAACTTGGATTGATAGATTTTTCTTTTATGTTTACATTCACTAGGAAAACTAAGATGACACTCTCTGATAATTTTTTTTTTGTATTTTTCTCGGTAAATAAACTTTGAGCATATACAGCTTCGTTCAATTCTTATGATCATATGAATTTTTACACATATCAAGGTAACATTAAAATGCTCTTACTTAACAGATCACATGCATAACCATAATGTATGCTTTTGCTAGTTAGATTACATGCAGTTATATGCTCTGTTTTGTTAGATTACTACCGGTCACAGTAGCCTAGTGGTAGAGCATTCGCTTTGTGATTGGAAGGCCCGGGTTCGATTCTCGTGTAGGGCGCCGCGTCATACCTTAGACATAAATATAGGTAGTTAATGTACTTCACCAAGAGCTAGGTACTAGAAGTGAAAGTCACGGGTTTTTTTGGATATTTCCTTAAAACGTGGGTCCTTACTGTTCAATAGCCCTGAGTGCCGAGTATAGGTCTTAATTTGAAGTCCCTCATCTGCATACGTAGCATCTCTGTATAAGTGAAAAATTCCTTGACGGGACGCTAAACAATTTGCAATCAATCAATCCATCTTCTCAAAAGCAGCCCTTTTTTTTGCCTCTCTAGACTCATAAACCTTTCAGATTCTCTGTTCATAAACATTGCTCTAAATGGCAAAATCATACCAGTATATCTTAATGAGGAGTCAAGAAAAATTGCACTTTTTTTAGATCGTTAACGATCTGTTATCGTTTTTGTCTTTACAGTTGGAAAGTGTGCAGAGTTTAACATTGGACTACGAAGTATTCGCAGAGTCTTCTTCAGTGATTGTACAACTTTTAAACATCCATGTCCAATTTCATACAACTCCACAGAATCTTACCGATGTATTCTTTATTATTGCAATTTTTTAATGAAAATCATTATGCATCAAACGTATACATTGTTATTTAGTTCCTGAATAATCAAGATAGTTACGCATATATAAATGAGTAATACTTCATTTGTGAACGCGTTAGATAAAATTCATCCTCATAAGTCTAGTTAATTCATTTCAGAGGATAAAAATACGATTTTGCTTTTGTCCATACATATACGTTGGATATATTAAGATATTCTTATATATGTTTCAGATTCTGACTGCTTTAATATACTAGTAATAAAATCGACAACAATGATAGCACCAAAGAACACAACAGAAAATAGAAATGGTTCATCAACAACAGATTTACCAATGCTTGAAAATCAAATGTTAGTGCATTTGCAATAATTAGAATAATTGTTTGTGAATTTTCTTACCCTCATTATAAGAAACATTGATTTCACACTTTGTAATAGCTAAAGCTAAGAAACAGCTGGGGATTTTTACTTGCGACATTTACGATATGTTGAACTGTATTTAAATATGTATTGCAATTTTCTTTTTCAAAATCTCACATTTCGTTTAACTTATTAGATCGAGCGGAAAAGAAACAAAGGAAAACTCTATCACTGCTATATTACTTGGTATCGGCATTGCAGTAGTATTATTGCTTGCCGCCATTTGTTATGTTGTTTTGAGACGTAAACGTAAGCAAAAAGGTTAGTCATTCTTTTTTACACATTAGACCCAGTTTGTAGAAAATTTCGTCCATAAGTATGGGAGCTGAATTATTTGAAATAATATCACCATTGAAAAGTCTTACTTTAATGGAGAGGAAAAAACCCAATCACGTGTACACAACATATTCTGTCAAATCTAGACATATTTGACACCTTGGAGATTCAGCATTAGATACCAGTTACTTATCAATTAATATTTCCAATGTGTATTGTCAACAACTGGAGGTCCTTTTTATGTATTTAAGTACTTTAAATTAAGTAAAATAGGTTCAATTCTGAATTATCCAGATTTTCCGGTAAGATGCATGTGACAAGAGATAAGCTCCACCTTATATTTTACTGTCTTTAGATCTCCTTTCTAGAATCTAGCTATAGAGTCCGTTAAACTACTGATAAAATACATGCACATATGTGTGGCTAGTGAGGAACTCCCTAAGTGGTACGCGAAACTGAGTTATTGAATTTTTCATGAGCATGCAGTCACAGGTGAGATCAGAAGCCGAAATAGAACATTAACATGTAGTTGTTTATTTTTATGTTTCATTATTATTGAATAACTAGAAAGCTCTTTTATAAGTAACCAGATTTATCATGCAACTGTGTGAGGGTGTGGGTTATACACCCTGATGAACTTACAAAAATCAAAAGAAGAACTTTAAAATTTTATCAAAATTAAAGAACAAAATTAAAGAACAAAATAGACAGAAATTTTAACAAAGAAAATTAACCAAAAAAAATGTACAAAATAAAATAAATTAAAAATGTCTTTGTTAGTTGGTCCTGGTCCACGTCACTCAGTGCGCATGAATTGGTCCCGTTTGCCCTGGTCCTTCCGTAAGTGCAAAATCCTTTAAGAATAGATTTTTCCAGTTTCCATTAAGTATGGCTGCACAGAACAATGTTTATTGAAAAATGGCTGCGTGGCACACTGGGTTCCTCTCGGGTTCCAGAGACAATGGTCCGACGCCAGGCTCAACACTTTGAAATGTCTTTCAATGAAACTAAATATTCAGAATTATTTCCAAATTCACAATATTAATAATTTACAAATTTTTACAATGTTTCGTTCATATAATGACTTTAAATCAGATAATGAAATGTTCAACGTGGGTCACCGCCCGATGATATAACTCACAGAACTGGTTTTAGAGATGTGTCGTATGGGCCGCCATAGTTCGCGCACACGCTACGGTCTCTGTCACACACCATAACATGGAAATGGCTACTCTCTAGAAAAAATTTAAGTACCCGACAGTTTACATACTCTGTAACATTCTGTAGAGAGGCTTTAAGGCATGAAAATAAGGCACAAAACCCATGTGGTTTTCTATGGACAGGCCCCTGGTAGCACTAGACGAACACATCTATCCTTTGAGGTTTTTCGGTATTACCTAGAGCACGCTTTAACCTTACTATTTAAAGTAAAACGAGGGGCTCCCCACAGGGCTGTTATGTTACTATGGTAACCAAAGGAATTTAGGGGCTCCCCACAGGGTTTTTAAACAAAATACCGGAAGAGTGAACCAAGGGGATTTATTTACAATGTAATGAAGAATTTCAGTTTGTTACAAACTGAGATTAATAAACTCTGTTTGCAGGAGATAAAGGTATATTGCTGATTAAGTAAGGGACGTTAATGATTGAAAGATTGAAAAGTTAAAATCGTTACGTTCATCATAGAGCTAGGTTGTTAAATTACGCAAGTCATCTAGGGCCAGGTAGAGGCTTTTCTATGCAAATGAGCTAATGAAGATGCATTATTTGTGTATTTTTTTTACACAGAGAAAGTTCAAGCTTATATTCTTATGACGTCATAATGTACACTGACTAGGGCATGTTGTGGGTATAAAGCTTTTATAAGAAACGAACTTTTTACTTTTTTCTGTGCAATAAGTTCAGCGATTATGTGTTTTAATTACTTCATTACAAAGAAACCTCTATATTACCTTAACTGACTTTCGTACTATGAACGTTTTTTTCAAGTAAAATATCCAAGTATGAAACAGATGTGTTGAACTCTGTGGTACGTTTTATGTCAAACTCACTAGGAGATATCGAATCCAAATAAGAATGAAAATTACCATTGTTAGTTGACAATACCTCGTCGAAATATACAGACGTTGAGTTGAAAACCACATCAAGTGTTTTCTATAAGATTTTTGATTTTAGACAAATTCTCCCCTATATGAATACAAATAATCTAATGAAATATATGGAGATAACGAACAGTGTTCAATCGCAGAAGACCATTTAATACATGTAATACCAAATAGTAGCAGAGCAAACGCCGACCTCCAAAACATCAGAGGTTGGGTCAGGTACCATGGAATAGTGAGTATTCCATGCCGACCGATTATAACTGCCTTGAGCTCTTATGAAGGATCAGGCAATAACGGAAAAATCCGTTGTTCATTCCAGTGTATAAAAAATGCCACAATAATATATATGAAAAAAAGTCAGTCGGATCAGCATTTAACTCAATAATAATTGTCAATTTCGTAAGTTGATGTTTTGGAGGTCCGTGTTTGCAATGCTCAAAAAAACAAGGTTAATACATAACGAGGTCATTTTTATTGAAAGCTTAAAGCAGTTGTCAATTATATCAAAAAGCCTAGACTTTAATATATCGACGTGGGGAGTGATTTAAGTTAATTGAAACGTTTTATGTTATAATGTAACATTTGTAAATTTTGTATAAATCCAAAATTCCTCCAATTATTAAAGTAGTAACGTCTGACTAAGACCAAATTAATTTAATATTCAGAAACGTTTTAGTACTACATTGATAATAAGAGATATTAATTATAAAAAAAAATTGAAAACTTAATGGTCTTCCATTGGTGCTTGTAATATTTTTTTAAGTGTTTTGTTAGAGATAAAAATGTTTTGCACTTAAAAATCTAATATCATTGATTTAAAAAAAAATACAAAAAAAATGTGAAAGTGCCGCTTTTGCGTGCCTAGTTCTAAAGCGTATCCTCTGTTTTTGACATTTTTAATCAAGGTACATGTAACAGTACTGGTGTACAGGAACTGTGTTCTTTATTTATACTTTGAAATTGAAGCCATTGCACACTTATGCTCAATTTCCGCATATATAAATCTATTCTTATCCGAAGTTGATTCTCTTTTGAACTTCATCCTGTAAATGTATTCAAGTTCGAAGATATTTGGCGACTGTTAAATGAAAAAATATGTTTAGGATACATTTTTTCACAGCTAGGTGTTTTTAAGATTTTAAAAACGAACAGCTAAATTGCGAAGAGAATTTACATTGGTACATTGAATATTATAAAATTATTTTCTAATGTTATAATGCTTTATTGGTAACGGCAGTCCGTTGTGACCAATTTTGATAATGACGTGCCAGCATATTATTATTGCATTTAAACTAAAAATGTATTGCTTTTAAACGCAAAACATTTCGTTAATTATTCTCTATAATCTTGGTATCAAAAAACAAATGATACTATTAGGATAAAGAAACACAGGGGGATTTAAACTTATCTTCGTATGGACTAAGATTTGTATCAAGAATTTCATTTTTGCCTCAAACATATATTTTTTGAAAAATTGAAATTCACAAGTCGATACCCACAAAATTTAATATCTAAAATTCTTGTTATCTTCAATGTCCCCCTCGCTCATATGTCGCAGCCTGGATTTTCTTTAACAATGAGTTTATCGGAGTGTTTAAACCTCAAAATGGATATCCCGAACGAAAAATACTATAGTTAACTATAGTTAATCATAGTTAGATATAGTTAACTTTAGTAAATCAAAGTGTCAAAGTTATCACATACTTAAGTTTTTAAGGTTATTCACTACAGTTTGAACGTTGTCAAAGTAAAAAGGCCTAAAAATAGGCAAATGACGTACATGTACGCTCGCCCCGGTGAAATGAACAACAAAGTAAATTTGACCAGCTCAAAATATCACAATCGCACAGATAAGTTTCTTTCCGTTTTATTGTGAATGTAATATAATGATAGCCTACATTATTTATAGCATTTTTGGGTAGTTTGGAGTCAAATTAACAGCGCGCCAGGATGCATAACTCGATCTTATCATGGTTCTGTTTTTGCGTTAAAGTCATCGTCACAGTTTAATTATTTGAAACCATTCTAGCTCCTCTCTCCTAATGGGGAAAACATACGTTCTATTTGGGGAATAATTACAAAAAACTTGTACAATAATTGAAAACAATTAATTTTTAACATTCTTCTGCTTATTATCATTACATGTATTATTATTTTTAGGTAATAAAAAAGCACAGACGTATATAAGTATCGCAAAAATCAAAAATTGATCAATGGGGTACGTACATGTATATCAAGTGTCTGTAAAGCATAAATAACACTACTTGCTTTAATCTCCTCTTCTCCTGTTACTCTTTTGCTTAATCTTTCATCCTTTTAAAAGAAATTTATTACTCTGCAAATCACAACCATTGATTAAGATTATATTGCTTTCTGATGAGAAACGTTTAGAGATTCTTTATACCATTAGCATGACAGAGCGTGTGACGTTTTAATCATTGTGTTAGGAACAAATATTTTTCATTGTTGCATGGGTATACTAGTATGTAGAATCCCATAGTTGAACGGCTCCTTTTAAATATAATTTTCCTTTTAAAATGGTAAACATGCAAATGAATATGCGAAGTCATTTCTTTTGTGTTGCTAACGTTTGATATGAATTGAAATGTCCCATTAAAGTCTCATATTTTGCAATAAATTGCATTTATTTTCGATTTTTGAATCAGAAAGTAAAAAGTACACCTCACAAATAAATATTGATCCATTTAAATATAAAATGATGATATAAAAATTAAAATCTGATAAATGCAAACAAAAATAGAGTTCACAATAAATTTTATGCAACGTTCCATCTATTTTTATTGTTTTAATTTTTGTTAATTTTGATATTTAAAAATTTAATCAGAATGTATAGCATACATAATTGATATTATTTACACATTTCTTGCAGAATAGAGCAATGAGCTGTACCGGGGAAATGTAAATACAGCAAACAATGGTCAAATAAGTCCTGCTATGCAGAAAGTATATGAACAGAGCAATTGAAGACGGACATCTTAAGAAAGAGGTGGGATGAGGTACCAAAGAGAATAAAGTATACCAAGGAATCTGCTCTCCTAAGCATCAAATTACCATCGATCCTTTCCTAAAACAAGCTGTTGTGAATGGAATTATGCTTGATGCATAAATTTATTTATCATATAGATCATGAAAGAAATTACTGTATATTAAAGGGATATTAGCGAAAGAAAAATCAGTTATCACTTATTTAATTAAAATTGTTTGTAAGCCCTATATACCTTTTTTATAATGAAACATAAAAATATGGAACAGCTTCTTTATTGTTTTTGTGTTGTATTTTATTCCAAGTTTAACTAGAAAATTAGATACTGGCAATGAAGAAATAAAGATGATTTTTGTTAATTGATAGAAAGTCATTGACTCTCAAAAATCTCAAATTGAAAGCAACAACAAGAATCCATTTTTTTTAAGCGGTTAGAGTAATTATGGTTATCCCTTTATGTTATGTTACTAACGATCTTACGCGATATTTATCGACTTTGGAAACTTCCATATGACGCTACCTTTCAACAACGGTAACTTCAACAAAGCGACATATGATTTATAACACGGTGAAATACATGTACGCATGTATATTTCATGAAGTGCGTTAGTGCTTCATGATAAATATGCCGGTGTGAAGCGTTGTAGTTCATATACCTCATGAAACTTCAAAAACTAAATTCATTTTGATATTTACATTATTTTTCTGATGACTTCCCATACGCCATTCTTCTGTCATTTTTAAAGCAAAACAGTATGCAATATTTATTCGACGTCAAGTACGGTATTATATGATGTAACAATGAAGATATTGATGTATTCATGATATATGTAATGCACTTGTGTATTTTATGAAAAAATGAACACCATTTTATTTTTTGTTAAATAATAGGGGGAGTTTATGGAAATTGTAAATATTTAATAGCAAAGACCTTCCATGGGTCTTAAATATATGGAACCCCGATCCTTCAACCGGCGTCGGAATTTCATAACTAATATGGATTCTGTTGAAGATTACGCCAGGCAATGAGCAAGATATGAAAAAGAAGACGTTTACACTATGTTAGAATGGATTAAATGTATCAGATCTATGATATTCTTGCGTATTAAAAGATTGAAGGGCAATATGAAAACCATCATTTTCGTATCTTAAACCGTTAAATTGGTTTGAACATCTAAATCCCAGAAATACATCTTTTGCTTCTTATTGCTTACATACATATTTATGAGACAATGAATAAAATTTGTAAATTTTTTTATCCATTAACTAAAAACTTCCATAAAACATTGTTCATTACCAATAAAATAGACCTTAATACATACTTAATTATACTTAATGCATACTTAATTATACTTAATACATAATTCGACGCATAAAAACCTCAGATTCAATGAACCTAAACGAATAACATATATTTGCTGAAAATTCTTTGTATTCAGACATTATCTTCATCTTTTACCACCAATGTATACGAGCGAAATGTTTCCCTTATTTATCTTGACCTGACATTAAAAAGTTATCCTCCTTTGATTTTAATCAATTTAAATCAAATCTAAAGAATTATTTGGTACAAAACTAATTATCCCTCCTCTATTCTAACTTATTATTTACATCTTTCTACCACATCATTTTTTATATTTCTAATCTATGTAGTACATGCTGTTTTTTATTCAAAAATTTCCTTGTCTACATATACTTTAAGAAAAAGGGGCTGAATATGATAACACAAGTATAATTATTAAATCCCTAAAAGATCATTTACTTTATACTTTAAAGATATCAGATATGATAAAAAGGAGGCACCCATACTTTATCCACATTGAATAAAGCAGAGGATTCAGGTTATGATGGTCACCATGCTCATTCTGGAAAAGGATATCTTTATCCTCCAATACAATTGCCGCGATTTTGACGTTTTTAACAAATGGACTTTTTTGTTTTTAAAAAATAAATTGCAAGGTAAAATATATGAGTCGGAAAAATCTTTTAGTCCTGTAACTGAATGCTTCAGAGCATGTCGCGTTACCGCGTAGATCACATGATTTGTTTATGGGCAGAGAAGTTGCAGAAGCAGAGAAGACTACTTTTGAAAATTAAACACCGAACCCCTTTATCACTTCCTCTATAGACGTTATTCAATTACTTCGCGACTTTTTTTTTATCTCTTGTAGTACTGCACTTGTGTTCGTCATGCGTATAATTGTGAGTCTGTAGGTAAGTTCTTTGTGCGAAAAGAAAGTGACGAAATTGCATCAAGATCGATGTAAAATACATCTATGTTTCTTGTGAGCGGATACTCCGCTTTTAGGTATCGGTTGAATTATTCTTAGTCTCATTATATAGAAAGGATGCAGATTGTTTGAAAAATCTCGATGTTTTTACATGTACACTGTAACATGTAGATACTAGACTAAGTATACAATTACTATTCTCTCTTTAATTCTTGCATTTTAGAGAGAGAGAGAGTTTCTCAGCTTAAAGTCGAGAGATCCATTAATATTTTGAAACATACCATACAGAGTAATTCTATGATTTTCAAAGATGTGTAATTAATTCTGAAGGAAGAATCTTGTCTAATCAAAGAGTTATCAATTGCGGAACATTAATTACATATAGTTATATGGAAAATGAAACTTCATCTAAAATATATTATGTTAAGTAACATTATTCTTTATAATGAATCAAAAGTTGCTCCATTTCTTTATTATTTTTATTGACATGCTGTTACATTAGCTAAAAATATCTGAAAGCTAAATAATAATGCAGTTTGATTTATGTACAAGTCTGATTTCTGGAAATATGCATAAAACCTAATGGCTTGCACACAGTCGCAAACTCATTAACATTGTTTGACATATATTTGTCGGAAGTTCAATTAATAGTTTGAATATTTTCAATGAGGAAATATTTTTCTACCGGGAGATGATTCTGTATCAACTAGAATGTAAAAACAAGAGATATGAGAAGTTTCTATCTGTGTTATTGGACATTCGTTGTACCAAGACTGTTCTGCAATGAAGTACGATCCGGGGAAAATGCATTGGAGTGCACTGAAGTGTAAGAATATTTCCGTTTTATTCCATAACATATATTATAAAGACAAAAAATTCGGAAAAATGACACTTCTGCGTACGTTTTCGTCCTTAAAGTTATCATTAAAGAAAATGTAAAATTGTATAAGAGATAAATCAGATCCCTGCAATTATTTTTTTTTTATTCGTTTCCCTACGTTTTCGTCTTGTGTTTCTGTTGTTTTCTTTAATTTTTTTTCTTAGCTCAAAATGTTCTCGTGTCTGAAGTATGTTTATTTTATATGTACCTGTCATATTGTTTCATTCAATTCATAGGAAGAACGGGACAAGCAAATGTTGCGCTGATTATATTTGGAAGAGTAATAGTAATAAGTGTGAAAGTAAGTATACTATAAATAAAAGTATCGATTTCATAAAATAATTAAGCACAACCTTTTTTCCATCAAGATTTAATGTCAATTTTCATGAAAGGTGTGTATATTTTTAGAGTGTAATCCAGGGTATGTTGGCATCAAATGCTCCGATCAGTGTCCAAAAGGTTTTTACGGGGACGGATGTTACTATAAATGTCACTCTGAATGTAGTGAATGTCATTATGTAACAGGAGAATGCTTTACATCCACAACAGGTATTTGTGGTGAATGCTTTATTATTGCATAGCACATTCACTTACAGTACTTCATAACAGCATTTTTGCAACACAAAATGTAAGACATGTACGTATATGTAAAACGCTTAATGAAAAAAATAGATATTAATACATTCGCTATCACCTTTTATGACTAAATTGTTGCAGCAAGCGAAAAAGAAGGATGTTATATAACAAAATGTTTATTTAAGGATTACTGCATAGTCGGGGATAACAAAATTTGGTTTAAACAGAAATGAACAAAGTTTTTGTAAGAAGTTACGTTATTTAAAAAACAATGTAAATTAAGTGAAAAGTAAAATTCAGACTTTCCTTTCAATATATATGAAATCATATGACATATGCCTTGAAAAATAATAAATGCTTAATTTTCCAGACATGGTACATGTATTTTCATATTTTTCGTCGACTTATTAAATTAAATAAATATACATGTATATGTACATGTCGTTTCCTGGTCAAGGTACACAGAACGTTATATAACTTCTAAATTTTAGCTACATTGTGTGCTTATATGAATAAAGCTACTTTAAAAAGTTGTCAGTAAAATGGGTGTAAAGAACGATTCTAGCATGATTATTGTCGAGAGCAAAAAATGCCGCTGACATTATTCTCCAATTAATCACAAACTTCATGAAAAAATTATCAGATTTGAAACAGATATCAAACCTCTATAGTTGCAATAAATATATTCGACTCTAGACTCATCGATGTTCCTTCTTTTAGAGTCGAAACACTGAAAATTGAATAGAGTAGCTGATGAATGTAGTATTTTTTAGCTAAGCGGGGCTGTTCCACAGACCTCCCTATACCATATTTTAACTTTGTGATTTAAGTGATACGGTATTAAAATAGAAAACAGATTTGTTATTGTTCGTTCATAAAAATAATTGGCTTATGGTACAATCAAAATTATAAAAAAAAAAATAAATAAAAGCCTTTTTTAATGCAGCGAAAGCTCTAATCGTTTACCTTAACAAACAAATTTACTCTTTGGTGTTAAATGGAACATAGTAATTGAGACATGGTAACCTAATTCGTTTCTACATAGAACATTCAGCTGTTTTTTTTAGAGTTCTTATTAAAATAAAAGATTAAGTCCCTGTTGTCGTGAATGATGCAGAATAGTCTCCTATGTCTTGAAATGCAGTTTGAAAAAAAAAAACCGTCGGCTAACGCATCGGATTTTTTTCTTTCAAACAACATTTCGAGAACAGGGAGATTATCCTGCAACATTCATGTTGCATTTAGTGCTCAATTCACCGATTAATAGGTCAGAACATCTTCCGGCTATGAAACAATAAATTAAATTTTGTAATGTCATTCATTTGGTAAACACTTCAATAACAGCATAGTTTGTACACAGGTGATAGACTTTATTCTTGAAACTTATTGTTAGTATTATTTACATTCAATGATTGTTTTATCTTAAATTAAATACGAATACTTTGTCTGGAATTGAAATAAATATATGTTCCTAGAAAATAAAACGGTTACTGATAAGCTACTTTGTGACAGATAAATTTATATTAAATACCTGTTAACAACCATAGTTTAAAGTCAGCATTTCTTAAACCTATGCTCGATTTCAATGACCTTGCAAGCAAATATTACTTATCATTTGGTCGTTTTTAGGCTGTTGGTTTTCTTAACATTGTTATTTTTTTATATTGAATTTGGTCAGGAGATATTCGGTCCACCTGATCAACACAAAGATCTCATGGCGCTGTTAACGGTCGACATGGATTGCCAATAACTTATCATTTAGTCCTTTTTTGAATGTCAGGTTTCTTATAGGGCGCTGTTACATGCACCAGTCGAAATAGAATGCTTTATCCTTCTCGGTACCTGACCCTACCTTTCCTGGGATCAATGTTTATGTTCCATCAAATAATTTGTATAGTATACAATTGCCAATCACTGTTTGTCATATTTATCTTTATCATTTTTTATTACTATTGTTTTTTATTTATTTCATGTTCTTAAATTTTCATTGCTATAGCAAAACGGTTAGTGCATACATTTATTATTTCAATAGATTGTTTTAATCCAGAATTTTGCTATATTTATACATGTACATCAAGATACAAGTTATTGCCCGAATCAAAAGGAATTAGTTTCATATATAAATTAAGTACCTCTTCAATTAATGTTGTGAAGTATTTGGAATTTGAATGTTGCCTGTTAGCTAAATCAATTTTGTGTTTATTCTGTTAGATAAATCAATGCGTATCAAATTTTAAAAAAATATGAAGTGTAAAGTTTCTATATGCAAGAACATGTAAAGTCTTCTGAAAAAAAATTAACACGGGATTCTTTTTTATTTCAAATACTTTGAAGAGTACTTTTTAAGAGAGATTAAACTGCGAACAAAGTACTAGAAATTGTGCTGCATAAAATTCGGTCATATTCAAGACAAAACATATTATTATACCTCATAATAAATATTCTACACAACGCGTTATCTGATTGGTTCTAGGTTATCACGTGAGCGGGCCGTAAAACTTCATATTTCCCGTCGTCGGCACGCTTTTCATCATATTCCACCTCTTCGGAACACCTAGTGAATTTTCCCGCAATATAGTTATCGTTCGTTGAACGAAAACTCCCGAGAGTAGTAGACGTCACAATAGCCTGGTTTACGTCACAAAACTGATGACAATGTGTTGACCAAAGGGTTTTAGCAGTGCCGAATTTGAAAGTTTATGTTTATTTCAAAGGTTTTGCTTGTTTCGGTATAATAAACAATTCATTGCATGAATGTTCGGGAAACATGAAGACTTATTCAGCCAAGAAATATCATATTCCCCTCGGGCAAAGCCCTCGGAGAATATGATTTTTCTTGGCTGAATAAGTCTTCATATTTCCCTCACTATCATGCAATAAATGTATATTATTATACCTCATTATAAATATTCTAAACAACGCGTTATCTGATTGGTTCTAGGTTATCACGTGATCGGGCCGTAAAACTTCATATTTCCCGTCGTCGGCATGCTTTTCATTATATTCCACCTCTTCGGAACACCTTGTGAATTTTCCTGCAATATAGTTATCGTTCGTTGAACGAAAACTCCCGAGAGTAGTAGACGACACAATAGCCTGGTTTACGTCACAAAACTGATGACAAGGTGTTGACCAAAGGGTTTTACAGTAACTTAACGTTAACAATGGTGTGAATTAGAGAGCGGTGCCGAATTTGAAAGTTTATGTTCATTTTGAAGGTTTTGCTTGTTTCGGTATAATAAAACAATTCATTGCATGAATGTACGGGAGATATGAAGACTTATTCAGCCAAGAAATATCATATTCCCCTCGGCGAAGCCCTCGGGGAATGTGATTTTTCTTTGCTGAATAAGTCTTCATATTTCCCTCACTATCATGCGATAAATGTATATTATTTTTCACTTTAGGTACATGGAATAATACTACTTCATGTATTGCTTTTTTAGAAATATAACCACGTTTCTGAATACTTGTATCTTATCTGTGATAGATGCAGTTACAGAAAACAAAACTGAGGTGACACTGTCAGCATTTACACAGTTACGACTCGAGAAATCAACAAAGAAGGACATATGGACAACAATAATAATTACTGTTGGGTCTATGGTTATTTTCTTATTGGTTTGTTTTCTACTTATCCATCTTCATAAGCTGTTTAAACAGAAAAGATTATTTGAAGTAACACATAATACTGAGCAGTTTATGAATGGACAAAGTGTACCCGTGTACGAACAAATTAATGAATCAAACATGTTGAGAAATACGATAGTCTTGGAAATACATGATGATATCTCTCCTGTCGAATAGCTTTGTGTATTTTCTATCACAATGTTTGTATTATAAAAAATCCAAACAATGTTGTTTTGTTTCCTTGGTAAATGGAAATTACTTTATATAAGTGTACATATATACAGACACGCAAAAGAAACGCAACAAGCAGTAATCTACAAATGTTTGAATTTTTTATCTAATGATTTTTAAAAAAGAATACAGCAAGGCTAAACTCACTTTTCAGAACATCAGAGATTTGATAAAAATGTTAAATGTTTATCTTTTAACTTTACTAAGTAACATATGACTTTTAAAACACCCCCCTCCCAGCCATTATAACTCAATTACAACGTGCAAGACTGTCCTAAACAACATAAGCAGCTTAATTTCTAGGATACAATAGGTTAATCAATATCGAGATCTTAGCGAAGGAATTATTCTTTACCATTATTAAATGCCTGTTTTTCAGATGATTAGGTCGAATTTTCTCAAACTTAGTGCATTGTAGTAACCTTTGGACTTTCGGTCCAAAGACTATCACTTATGAATAAAATACGTAAGACCCTGTTGAGACGTAATGTAGTGTATTTTTGCATCATCAGCTCTCCATCGCCATTACTTTGTGATTTTCCAGCTAGAGCAATGGAAATGCGCACTTAAGCCATTTTCAAAAAGCTTTAACGTCGTTTCAGGAAACGAAAGGAGATTTTATTTTTTGAAATATTGCTGCATTACTTAAGATGAACAGTACAAACCCTTAAAACTCCAAAATATTGCCAGCTGTTTAGTGAAACATGCAATTTTCGATTTCTGTTATGCAGACTCAATCTTTACTTCCGGTTATGGGATGAAAATCGTTCAACCGTTAAATTACCGATATTTACCAAATTGAAGATATCCATAATTTTATGATTTATTTTTTTTTTACTTTACATAATTATTTCACCCTAAAGTAGGGTGTTGCGTTTCTTTTGCGTGTCAGTATATGTCTTGTTTTTATCTTAGATTGCCTCTTCAAGTGTTATTGAATGATGTTTTGCTTTCATATTTAAAAAAAATTCGACAATTTAGTTTTTTGTTGATCTAGAATTATTTGAAAATAGTACGAGGGTTGTCCCAAAAAAAAAAACGCAAGCCTTTTCAATATCTTTTGTTTCACTGGGTCTATAAAATTAAAAATTGGCATACATCATGATCAATAATTAATGAATTATGCCCAAAATTTTCCAAGAGACATCTCTATAAATAAAATTTTCCACTCAGGTAAACGAATCTATCTAATCAACAGTCGGAGCAACTGACGACGTCAAAACATATCTCATAGTGTTTGTGAATTCGTTCTTTAAAATGTACGCCAGAAAAATTCATTTAGGCATATACATCGGCCCTGTATTTTATGCCTCCTCCTTCCTTAACCTCAATATAACATAAACACCATATATGTTGAAATTGCAATTTATTGATCAAATAAATCTTGATCAACAATCCAAACATGTAGTAGAAACACCAATATATTCATAAAACTACAATAAACTAAGATAGAGATATTTAAATACAAGAGAACGTAATTTATTTTGTTTCAGCTACCAAGTTTAACAACTCATACACTAATGTTACCAAAAGATTACCAAAAGAGTTAATTTTAAATACACATTATCACAATCTTTACTGATTGAATTGTGTAACAGCGGTATTGATGTAGGCCTATGACGTCGGCGTCCCGCTCTTGTCTTTTCATTTCTTTATTTAAGTGATCTATTCTCTTCTACATCAGCAAAGTCTACCTACAACCCTTTCAACTGGAGATAAACCTCTTTCCAATATTTATGCTTGTTTTTCATCTTTAACACCCTTTTTCCCTATAAAGAGGAGTCCTATCCCGCTAAACATAGTGTTGCTTGATAATTTGGTGCTCCACATTACCGCTTAACGTCACAATTTTTGAGAATGTCTAATTAAAAGTACATATGACACATATCGTCATATATTTGTCATTAATGAGGTGAAATAAATGATTTTTTTTAATACTAATTCACCTCAGTATTGAGTATTTATGTAGACATTTTTTTGAAATATAGCTTTATAACAAAAACTTCATTGACAATGCTATTCAAAAAGTAAAAACAAAAATTTCGCGCGCTGACCACCGATACTTAAAGTCCTTTAAATGGTGTTTTTATATGTATATGACATCACAGGTCTATAATATTTTGTCAAAATATCAAACAGGTAATTGTCGAACAGCATGCAAAAAATTATAAGTTGCTTAATTGTAATTTTTTAACGTCCCTCTCGAGAATTTTTCACTCATATGGAGACATCACCATACTCCAGTGAAGGGTTTCAAAGTTTGACCTTTACTCGGCACGCAGGGCTATTGGGCATTGAGGGATCTTCATCATGCCAATGTCAGCCGCAGACACGGGACCTAGGGTTTTTTTCACTTTCACTTCAAAGTGCCTAGCGCACGGCGAAGGAACAGTTGCTACCCATTTTTATCGACTTTTATCAGTCGCAGCCGAGATACGAACTCACGGCCTCCCGATCACGGAGTTAGAGCTCTACCAACTGAGCTACCGTGAACAATCAATTTTGGTAAAATAGTATTTGAAATATTAAAAAAGATTTTCTTGAACATTCCTCATATATAATTTTCAAAATGTAAACAGTTAGGAGTAAGAGTTGAAAGTAAGGAAAGTGGAAAATGAAAGGGACATGGTTTTTACCGGTTTAAAAGTACCTAAATATTCGTCTCAAATTCTTAAAGTAATTTTTTTTTTATAACATTTCATTGTAATTGATTAATTCAACAATACTCAAGATTATGGAAAAAGCAGATAATATGTATGATTATGTTGTGTTAATAGGAATATAGGATAAATAATTTCCTATCAAAACAGGTAGTGCAAAGATCTGGTAACAGACAACTTAAGAAGGAAAAGATTATGCAAATTGAACATGGAGAGCAGAAGGGGAAAGAGAAATAAATAACATAATAATTATACACATACACTTACAGGATGAAGGAAGTTATACATTGCAGAAGGAAATATATGAACCTGTTTATGTGAATGATATAATTATAAAATTAAATATTAATCTGACAAAACAAATCAATGCTCTAGATACTGGCAGGTATAAAAACATTAAATTTGGTGAATTAATATAAAAAATAAATAATACAATCCTTTCTCTAGTTGAGTAATGATACATTTAGTAGACTGAAAGTCTATTATTTATGTCCCAGTACCGTTCTAGGGGAGATGCTCTATAGGAGAGTGAAATGGTGCATGTTCTCAAAACTTCACTGTATAAATAAAAAGTTTGTACACAATCAGTAAGCCTACGATGAATGAACCAATTCAAGATACAAAACTTTTTTTTAAATTGTATCTTAAAAACAACATGAACATCATTATTCTCTAACCCCCCGTTCACACATAGACGCCGCTTCTACAATCAAAGCGTGGCTGAAAGCGTGGCCGATCGTGAAAATTCGCAGGAGAAACGTCGTGGAGTCGTCATAAGCGTAGTATGATCGCAGTCGGGTCTTCATGATTGGAGAGCTTTACGCTCTCACCACGCTTATTTTGAACATGTTCAAAACAAGCGTAGCGGGATCGTGGCCAATAAGAATCGGGGTTAAGTCATAAAAAGAGCGTAGTAGAAGCGCCGTAATCGTACAGGCAGCGCGGAAGCATCGTAGAGAGATCTTCGTGATCGTAGTAAAAGCGCCGTTAGAGCGCAGGAACTTACCAAAAACGTTCATACAATGCTCCCTCTACAATCGCACTACGTTCTCACTACGATCTCTCTACGTTCCTGAAGATCCTACGAAGACCTTCAATGACCTGACGCCGATCATATCACGACCTATCAGACAGGAGTTTGTTCTTATAGCGCTAATATTTGACCAATCATCATCTGTAAACTACATGTAAAGGGTGACCTTATACTTGACGATCATTTGCAACTGAGAATTTTCACATCTTGGTACAGTTAAAACTGAAAATGCCCTTAAACCATAAGTATCATCGCTAAAATCGTAGTACAAAAATCTGCGGTTGCAAGATTATATACATCATCGTCAAAATCGTACTAGAAGCGTAATGCAATCGTAATATGATCGGCACCACCGAAGCGACATCGCCGTACAGTCATCTAGGTCTGCGTAGCGTCGTAGTATGGCCTTTAATGTCGTAGTGGCAGCGTAGCGTAAACGCAGTAAACACGGCCGCTTGTCGGCAAAAGTCTGCGTAACATCGTACTAGAAGCGTGTTAGCATCGCGTTTGACGTAGCGACATCGTTGTACGGTCGTCGCGAAGACCATAATTTGCGAAAATTGCTCTATTTAGACGCCGATCGGCTACGATCTGCACCGATCCCAAAAAATCAGATTGTGGCTTGATCAGGATGATCGCCGTAGAGTCGCAGCTCTGTGTGAACGGGGGGGTAAAGGACTTGTCAGTAACCTGAAAAAAGAAGTGTCCACAAATATTCCATCGTTAATTTTTACTGCAAGTTTAATATTACATTTAATTTGATTTTAAGATAATGTTACGGAAGTTACTGCTTGATCAAGCCTTGTTATTTTTTAGGCAATGCTAACCTGATTTTTTATGTTTCTGGTGTTCAGTATAGAACGGTAAAATACATGTATGATTCATGAAGTGTCGCCTAAATCCGAAATTAAATAAAAATTTCTACAAAATATCGTTAGGGATGTTAATTCAGCAGCAATAAAAGTTAAAATTCTCGACGATAGTTAAAATCAAGCTTGTTTTAAGATGTTAAACAAAAGATTTAATAAAAATCGATTGTATAACTTTATGCAAGGCTTCCCTGAATTACTTTTTTTCCCGATAATAGTAAGAAATTAATTTTCTCTTCAGTTAATTTTTTTATTCATATGAATGAGAATTTGTGCAAAATCTTTTACCTGAAAAGAAGAAAACACTTGCTGTGGCCTTTAACTCGACATTTAGATATATCGACTATGTATCATAAATTAACAAAGGTTATTTATCTCATTTGTCTGACGATTTGTTCCTTTGCATAGAATCTTAATCTTGGTC